ATGTTTATTTAGGACTGGTTTCATGTGTGTGAGTGTATATATGTTCTGGTTTTTGAAACAAGGTCATGTTGCTCGGGCTGGTCTTGAGCTATGTAGCTCAGGTTATCCTCAAACTTGTAGCAATATTCCTGCCTCAGCCTCCTAAGTGTTGTGATTACAAGCATGTGCCTCCACTCCCAGCAAGACCCTAGTTTTTTATATGTAGCTTAACTGTCAATCATGAGATTATATTAAAGATATTTTTGCCGCTAGCATCCTTGATGCTGGAAATCGTTTGAGGCTGTACTGTACCAGAGTTAGAGGGCAACCCAAGAAAGTACAGACTTAGAATCCGGGGAACAGAATCTCTAACCCAAGGAGACAAGGAGAGAAAGGCAGCTGTGCTGGGTCCACACGGGAGGGAGGTGGGTGTGCAGGGAAGATCAGCTGCCACGCACTCGGTATTCTGGGACAAACAGTGGTTAGGGCAGGCAACACTAAAAGGCAAAAATCATGAACCCACAAAATATACACAGCTGATTTTAAGTAACATACTCAAACTCCATTGCCTAACTGGGAAATTAGTGACTTTCACTTCGTTGTAATAATACAAACACCGTCTGTGAATTCTTAACTTCCAAAAGTCTACCCATACTCACATGGAGTAACTGCTATGAGGGCCGAGGATGAATAACCAAAGTCCAGGGGACACCACTGGAGAAAGATGGGGACAAGCCCAGCGTCCAGCTTCATCCTCGAGGCAGGACATCAAAAGGGTCTACAGCCTCTAGAACAAAAATAGGTGGGCAAAGGTATTCTTTAAAGTCCCACAGTTCAGAGACATGAGGAAGGGCAGATTAACTGCATTAGGACAGGGAGCGTGGTCAGGCAGTGAGCTGAACATCACCTTGAATACAGGAAGTGAGTCCAGCAATTACATAGGACTGTGGTATTGAGATCACTGCCCCAGGAAGAGCTAAACTGAAGAGTGTTTCTGGAGAAAGAGGCAGAGAAGAGGCCGCTGTCATGGAGAAGCTTCTCTCCGACCTCACTGGAAACCCCTTGAGCAGCCTGGTAAAAATGCATGGGTGTGAGGTTTGAAGATCGATGGCCATGCGTGTTCCTGGAGTCAACCTTACCAGTCCAGCATGTGGGAAACTCTTCTGAATGCAGGTGGGAAAGTCTTCTCTGAAAACACAAATTAAACTCTTCTGAATGCCTCACACCAGACTGCCAGGAACTGTTCTCAACTGCTTCCCATTCTCCCTCCAGACCCTGTCCTGCAGAGGCCCTGAAGGTCAGCAACCTCAGGCTGTTAGTTCACGATGGTCATGGGAAGCAAGCTCATCATCCACTCCTCAGTGCCATCAAGGCAGGAAGTAGCGGCAACAGGGTCTAAGGAATCCACCCCTTCACCTTTTAGGGAAATGAAGCAGAATATGATGAGCAGAAAATACTGCAGTGCACAGAGGTACAAGAATCTGAGCTCCTGAAAACCCATACCTGAGGCAGGAAACCAGGGCATGGCTGGGGAAGTAAGTGTGATCCCCACTGCAAAGTCCAGGAGGCATGTACAGAACACTGCAAAGCCCTGCGTGTGGAATGAACCCAAGAGTACTGTCTTCAGTTCTCACAAGCAGGTTACTGACAGCCTAGACCTGATATCCCAAGGAGCAGGAGCTACAAAAGGGTATCACCAGTGAGCCCCCTCCCAAACTTGGCCCAAACTCACTCTGCAGAGTATGTTTCCTACCTTTAATGAATGTAAAACCTCTCTATCTGTTGTCCTTGTTTTTTGCAATTCTTTGTTCAGAACAAAATCCTAGAAACCTTCTCTGGAAGGAAACAGAAAACCCAGAACCCAGGGTCACATCCAGGTCCATGCACCCTCAGCTCTCCAAGCAAGTTCACACCTGAGTATGACACCCTCACCGCACAGCGGGCTGAGATCTTTTATTCCAATTATATTTAGAATGATGCCAGAGAAGCTGAAGGAATGGCGCTTCCCAAAGTATGTCTTCCCCACGAAGCCTGCAGTCGTCCTGGAGAGGCTGCACTGCTGCTGCCTGGGCAGTCTCAGAACCTGCTCCAGGACTGTGTTCGTTTGCTATTCGGTGCCTGCGGGTGGCCTCCCATCCTGTGTGGCCTTCAAATCAGCAGAAAGAGCCAAGTTATTTACCACACAAACACCATGATGAGGACAAGACCTAAAATCACACTGCCATCATAAAGAAAGATGCTGGCCCCCGAGAGGGATGGACGGCAGGGAAGACAGTGCTCACAACCAAAGCAGGTGTGTGCAGGGTGCTGGCTCAAGACTGTTGCCCAGAGGAAACCAAGGCTCACTCCACGCAACGTGCCAGGCCAGTCATCAACTGCCACTGCTGCACCGACGGGGATGCAGCTCCACTCACCTCTGCGGTTCCAGCACTGGGGCCTGGCTGTCAGGGGAGCAGTCTGTGTGTATGGGGGGGGGGGGGGGGGGAGGCAAAGGGTGACAGCCCCAGGGGAGGGTGTGGTGGCTGTGAGCTCTGACACAGGACGTGAAGAACAGGTATCAGTACTCCTCAGGTTACTGCCAGAACTCGCTGACAGTGTGCAACCTCCATTCGGGCATCAGCACCACATAGCAGCTGGAATCCGTGATTGAGCTGCGATCATCCAGAAATCCACTAGCACTTCCTGAGAGCCTCGGAAAAGGCAATCAAGAGGTGGTTTTTGGAAGGCAGAAGCAGCAGGCTGGCAAATGCAGATATATTTTGATTAAATTGTAATTAGTGAATTGTCTGATGTTCCACTCTAGCGAACTCTGACTCGTGGAATGAAGACATCGTGCATGTTTTCTAGGCGCCTTCTAAACCCCTAACAGCACTACGGCAAGATGCAGTTTTTTAGGAATGAAGTACCAGGGAACCGCCGACTGCTAGAGCAGCAGCCCCACGCAGGCAAGGCACCGAGTCTGACCCTCCGACACCACAAAATAAACGCAGCTGCTGGCACCAGGGCACAGGGCACAGGCAGGCCAGGCCCCGCATAGGAAACCTGCGGGGAAGAGCTCCGCCTTGTGTGCCCGGGGAACCTGGAAGAGCATCAGCACGTGCAAGGCTCACTTCCCACCCTCAGCAGGTTCGTTCCTGCTTCTCCAGCACAGATGGGAGGGGAGTGAGGCAACGCCAGCCCTGTGCCATGGGCTCCTGCTGCGGCCCCTCTCCTTGGGTTACAGTTCCCACTCCTGCAGCTGCTCCTCCGAGGGCAGGGGTTCAGGGGAGGGTAAGGGTGCAGGGAAGGGCAGAACATTGCGTAAGGGGACCATAGGGAAGGCGTAGGGGATGGCGTGCTGACCACGGGTATTCAGAAACAGATTTTAGTCCCGGCTCCAATGACTGCTACCCACACCATTATCTGCAAGTCAACAACCAACCAAAGGGCCCCCAGGACTCGCCTTCTCTTGTTTGAGAAACAACCTGTTGCTTCCGACAGCTGCGTCAGTTTGGGTCTGTCCTCACCCACTCTGTGGATGAATACCATACGTTCACGGACTATATTTACCGCGCAAGAACCGGTGACATCATCAGGCTGAGCGCCAAAATGAGCGTCAGGAGCAGAAGAACAGACTTGCAGTTCTTCCGTGAAAACGTTAACATTCTCTCATTTCCTGCAACAAGAACCTGGCAGCAAAGCAAGTGTTTTGAGAAAATCGTTCATGCTTGGCGCAGACACGTGTCTATGTGCAGCGTGTACACATGCCATAGATCGGTAAACAGCTGAACCCACACTAGCCTATTGCACACACAAAACGCGTTCAGCCTCTCAAGGGGCGAAAGATCAGTCTGGGAGAAGTGGGGTATACCAGTCAGCATTTCCATCTTCCCGAGGACACAAAGTCCAAATTAAAACACTGTCCACATTTCAAACTTACAGTACTATTTCATCACAAAAACTCTAGTCCTGAGACATGGGTCTCAAAACTGAGGAACACTGGTCACTCCTAACCACTAGACCCTACTGAGGCTTCAGTGTGCTCCCCCAAAACCACGCGCTGGGCAAGATGCAGAGGCCAAGCATCCCTGGCCCACCTGAGTGGCTGCAGGGCCCATGGGACCCTGGCTCTTCACCACTGGACCTTGCGGACTGCGAAGGCAACACAAAGACCAAGGGACTCACTCGCTTGCTAAGGGTGGGCCACATTCCCATAAAGCTACACTGACACCAAGCGTGAAGAGGTCAGAAGCCAAGGAGCAAAAGATCCAGTGCTGGAGCCTAGTAAGGACACACCAGCAACTTAAGGAGGCCCCAGGTCAGTATTTAAAGACATAAACAAAAAGGGCTGCAGATATAGTTCAGGGTACAGGTCGTGGGCTCATTCCCCAGTACGAAAAGGAAAAACTAACGTCTAGAACTTGAGTGAACAAACTGAAGCAGGGGTACCTGTAAAAAGCAAGTGAGTTCTCATTCTGACTCCCTGCTTAGGTTTAGGTAGTTATGGCCACAAGTACTAGTGCACCTCGGGCTCCACAGGAGCTTCCCAGTCTCGCTGGGTCTCCACAGGAGGACAGCACTGGACAGCCCCTCGGCAGGGGCTGAATCCCTCCAGCACTGCACGGAAACCCTGCCCCCACTGCGACAGCACAGCAGCGAGTGCTGTGACCGGGCCTGGGCTTCTCCACGTGCCCAGGGCCTGGCACCAGTGCCCTTGAGCCCCGTGCTCCAGGTGAGACCTCAGCAAGGAGCACTGGGACCCAGCCTGACAGACACCAGGCCTGCCGGCGCTCTCACCTCACACTCTGCAGCCTGCGCTGTGGGCTCAACGTGCCAGCCAGCCTCGGGATTGCACTACGGGAGCTCAGAGGAAAAGACAGGAAGGCTGTGAACCTCTCCAAACAGCTCAGCGTGCCCTACGGACCTAATTACCAGAGAGAAAGAGGACAGAGACAGAGAGAGAAAACAAAATGACACAGACAGGAAGAGATGGAGTAAGCCAGAAAAACAGGTTTTTTTGTCTTTAAACTTAGATAAATATCTGTGATGGGGAAAGAGAAATTTATTTATTTTCAAATTATTTTAATTTACAAATAGAAAACACTTTGAGGGGCGGGATACAAAGCACAGGCAAATTTTTACTTCATGAGCTTCTCCCAAAGAGGCTAGGAAGACAAACGCTCTTCCAAAATGGTCAGCCACCCCTGCAGAAGAAAGAAGAGCAGGGTCAGTTTCGAGCACCCATGAGACTTTGGTAGTAACAATAATTTAAAATGCAACGTTCTATCATTTTTTAGAATCAAAAATGTCTCATTTACTTGAGAACCACACCTCACTGTGCCCAAGTACAATGAACTGTAAATCCCTGGGGCTTCCGGAGCCCTCCTGGCCCATTTGGGAAACATACTTCAACCGCTCATGCTACTACATCTACTAAAAGTCTGTAGTTATATTTTCCTCACTTATAGGAGAAACAAATTCCTTTCAGGTTTAGAGCTATCGCAGCGCAAACATGAAACGAATTAGCTTTCAGTAGCTTTTCTCACCAAATGTTTTATGTGGCCTTCAATTTAAGATTTAAAAAAATTTAAAAGATTTTTAACACCTTAAATATGGAACCAACTTTTTAATTAGAAGTTTTCTAAGCAACTCACACCCCAAAGATTCACATGTAACGTAAGTGATCTGGTCTTTGCAGTCGTCAGCTTCCTCCTGAGGGCTCAATGAGTTGGCTCATAGGGAGCAAGAGCAGGCCCTGGTGTACAGCAAGGACTCAGTAAAGGTTACCTGTCACTATCACCATCATCACCATTCACAACGATAAAGAATGCTAAGTTAATGACACACTTCACTCCCACTTATTCCATGTTTTTACTCCCTGCAAAAAGGCACCAGATGGGATCTGCAGGAAGCCTGTGTGTTTACATATTCATTTAATACAGATAACCTACCAGGTTTGCCCCAGAACTCACAATCCTCGCAAGACAGGCACACTGACCTGAGGGGACCCAGAGGAGATAGTAAAGTCTGGCAAGAGAGATAAAAATGCAGCACCAAGGGAAGGGGCTCATTTGCATACCAAAACAGGTAAAAGGGATTACAGGTTGTTCCCCAGGGCCAGGGCCTGTGATCCCCACAGCCAGCAGACTCCACATAGAATCAAGGAAGAGTAAAAGCCTTCTGACCTTGGGCCCTGACTGAAGCAAGGGCAGGAAAGAGTATGAAAGCCAAGACTCTGACTGATTAGGAAACTGCAGACTGAGAAGGTCTCCAGTAGTTTTCTCTCCAAAATTTCCCAATTTCAGAGGTGACATTTCTCATCCATAACATAAAACGCGCTCCCAAACAGAAGAGATGGGTGACTTGGTCCCTTACATCTAACTCTTCAGGGTCCTAAAGCCTTACTCTTTGGCACTTCCACTTAACAAGGAGGACAACCTGCATAAGAAAGCCACCCACAGCCTTCATTCAGTCACTTGTCACTTAAAAGACACCCTCAAGCCCCAGTGATGAAATGCTGAGCTTCACAGGTCAGAACACTTTTCAGTTGCCACAAATTCTCCACACCCAATAAAGTAAGACAGGCATTACTACCTCTAAATGGCAGGTGAGGCTGAGAATCAATGAGAGCAAAATCATAGAGTGTGGACCTCATGCCACAATCTCCCACCAAACTTAATCATCTAAACCTGATTACTCCAAGTATTCATGCCATCAGGTAACCTAAGGACGTGTAATGAATTTAAAAAACAGAAACTTCTACTAAAGAACAAACCCACCTGGTCTCTCAGCTGTCTCCACTCCCCCCAATACGACCATGCCACTCTACACTGAAGGTCTAACCCAACTTGGTTTCAGCCTCTATGACAATCCAAATAAGAACTACTGCCCACATTGGATAAACCAGGCACAGTGAGGCGAAGTCAATTTGCCAAGGTTAGGACAGCTACTCAGTAACAAGCAAGAGGCTCTGAATCTCAGTGATCTGTCCTGACTCGCAGACAGCAAGCAGCATTTCCTCTGCACCCTAAGTATCAGTAAGATACAGCACAAAGAAGATCTGCATTTGCTTCTATCACTGGATACTTATTACTGAAATACCAAGTCCACCTGCTGCCTTCTTGACAATTTTATTAAAGAAAAGTGTGCCCACCTCACAGAGTTGCTAGAGATGGTGAACAATGTAAGGCACTTAAATGATCAGGTACAGATAAATGTCAGCAAACTCCACTGTACTGAAGAGTCAAGAGACAGATCTGTGTATTGATGAAATAGGCTAATTTTCAATCCAAATAGTTTCGATTTCCATTCACTGCCAGACACAGTGTTTCAAGGTGTTTACTTACACAATGATGTTGTTAATGGGGATGTGGATCAACTTCACAAAGAAGCCAATGAAGCCCATGATGGCAAAGCCTATTGCTGTTGCCATGGCGATCTTCTGGAACTCTGCATTTACAAACAATATTCTCATTAAGTTTTTGGACCCCCATTCAAAGTATGGGGGAAAACTATTAGTAACAGGAATAAGTTCACTGGTTGTACACTTGCCCTGATTAGCAGATAATTCTTTAAAAAGTAAGGTAATTAATATGGTAATAGAAAGGTTTTGCCAAGTTTTTCACTTTCATATTTTGATATTTGAGTAAACAGAAAAATAAAAATGTGTTCTAGTGAATATATCCACAAGTACATAATAAATATCTGATCCAACACTTCTGACACCATGATGAAACCAAAAATAAGGCTCAAAAATCAAATTAGGTCAGGAGAACGGTTATAACTGTTATATTTGTTTTTCTTTTAATAATATTTCCTCAGGGATGTTGTCCATCTGATTTGGCTATTCCTGCTATCTACTTTTCCCCCCTAGTAGTTAACAATATTTTTGGTAAATCATTTGGCAGTAATTTTTAAATTGCAATGAGTTGTTTATGACAGTCTTCTCCAATAGCCTAAGCTTCATTAAAACAAAGACTATTCTCCATTATTTACATATTACATATTATATTCTGTATTATAATCTCATCTATTCAACTAGTGGATAAAAATAAACCAACTCTGGTGGTGATATGGAAGATATTGAAATATATATGACCAACTTATATACAATATGGACAAAAAGGCTCTAATAACTTTAGGCCATCTGAAAAATACATAAAAGAGAAAACTTTAGTCAAGAAAGAATGCACATAACTTAAGAATAATGACCCAAAGCAAGAAAAACAAATCAATAAAGCTGTTGATTAAAGTAATGTAAAGCTTATTAATTAAATGTCACATGAAAGCCCTAGAAAAACATTTATTGTCTTGGATCACATAAACCAAATACCTTTTCTGTCTGGTTTGGTGCATCTTTTCACCAGGCGAATTGAATCCTTCACAAACTGGCGACTTGGCTCAACAAACTGCATTACCTGATCCATGATTGCCTGTTTAAAAAAAAAAAAAAAAAAGATTATCACTAGTATTATTTGCCAAACATGGACTTGCTAAATTACATAAAGATGTACATAAAACCAGCCATGAATTCATGACTCACATGGGTCAATTTCACCTTGTAAACTAAAAAAAGGCAGATTTCAAAGCCTAAATTTACACATTTGTAAACTTAAAGAAAGCAACACACCAAAGATGATGTGACAATCGCAGTTCACCCTATCTATAAGGAGCACACACGAACACAAGGGGCTTTCTACCACAGGTTAAGTAATGACAGCACATCCACTGCTCTACCTCTCCGAGTCCCTCTGCTCTTCCTGGGAGGTCAACAGTGTACACTCCGACAAGTATTGTTTTCTATTTTTACTTTAACGTGATACTCAGAACCAGTGTCTGATGAGCAGAGGCCAAGGACAGTGTTGCCAGAGTTAAGGGGATGGAAACTTAGATTTCAATTCCTCCTTGGTACAAAGCACGTCCATAACGCCTATTCAGAGGGACCTGTCCCGCAAAGGATGGACAGACACACACGTAGGGCTTTCAAAACCACCAAGACTGACTAAAGTAGGATCCAGATTCTGAGAAGCTACTAGCCAAACTTAAGACAGAGCAAAGCTTTTAAGCAATGAGATCATATAGTTCATCATGCAGAGTTTCTGTGAATTTAACATAAGTATCACCCCATGTTGGCTTTGAAAGCCACTGCTGTAACAGCTAATGACGGCAGAGCACGGTGGTTCAAATCTGGCTACAAACCATGGGCCCGTTTCCTTATCTAGCGTGGGCGGTGGACATCAGTGGAAAAATGTGACTGAAACTCTTTACACCTACCAGAAATCCCGCAAACTTCTGGGGCAAAAAGATAACAATGCCTGTTTTCTCACTATCGCACGTAACTTTTGTCCTTGAGACCTGAGGGCTTAAACTTTAGGCAGTCACGGATGTCATAAAATCTCATGAACCTGTGTCCAGAAAAACGTACCCCTCACTGAACACTTCGCGGACCCTGAGGCTCAGGAAGGCGCCGCGATCGCTGGTGCGGGGTCCCCGCCGACTTCTGCGCTCGGGGAGGGCGGCGCCCCACGACACACACGGGCTGCAGCCCAGGTCGCTCGCGCAGACACGCAGCCCACCCTGCCGAACGTCACTAGGGACGCGGGGCCAGCAACGGGCTCCGCACCGCACCCCCTCCAGACGGAACTCTGGGCCCGGGAGTGTTGCTGTGTCGGCCGGTGCCCCGCCGAGCACAAAGCCGGGACGCCCCGCACTCGCGTGCCGCCCAGCTCCCTGGAAAGTAGACCCTCTACCTACCGGTTCGCCACCACAGCTCCTAGGGACACGTAGCCAAGAGCCGGACAGGAACCCAACGGAACCGGAAACCGGGTCCTTCCCGTAGCCCGCCCACTCTTCTGTCCTATTGGTCCGCTAGGTGGATACGTCAGTGCGCAGATGAAACGTACGGGCGTCGCGGCTTTGCTTCCCGGAAGAGGCGTGTCAAAGGGCGTGCTGGGGGCGGTCTCACTACAGTGTTTGCTGTTTTGGGAGGTTTGGCAGTAGCTACCTGCTCGCTTTACCCGTCTTAGGTCCCTCGTACGGCCTCCGCTTCTCCGGCGAGTAGGCAGAGTTGCCACGTTTGGCTGGCAGCTCTGGTCGGGACTCCTTGCAGCACTAGGACTTTTCATGTGTTTGGTGCTGTTAGCCAAGATCCCGTGGCTTACAAATGGGCCCGGCCCAGAGTTCTAGGGGAGGAACCGATCTCGGTGTGTTCCGACACCGCCCGAGGACGTGGGAAGCGGTGACCTTGCCCTCTCGGTGCTGGTTTCAGGATGACTTGCTACGACCTGTGGGCCTGGGATCTCCAGGCTCTCCCTGGCCGGGCTTGTCGCTCTCTCGGTCATGGAAAGCGAAACAAGTCAGAACAGAAGATCAAAGCGAAAGTAGTTTTATTGTTGGTATTGCAAATGGAAGTGGACAGGAGTCCTCCCAGAGGAGTAGGGACGCCCAGAACTGGGACACCGCTGAATCTGGGGCTACAGGCCTGTTTTCGGGTCCTGCGGCCGCCCCCCTAGGAAGTCGACACCTTGACTGGATGTTGGGCTCCCTGGCGGTTTGGTCTGGTGGGCTAGCTGGAATGTGGGTAAGCATAGCAGCTTGCAGGAGGAGGGACAGTGTCTCCTGCACAGATGCAGGTGTCAAAAGCACAAGCTGTCAGCTCGGCTGCTTGCTGAGATGCACAAAGTATTTCCTTTCTATTTCTTTAAGGAGCTCGGTTCTGTAACCCTACCTGAGAGTTCCAGCTGTCCCTACAGAATCCTTCTCTATGCACTTACTTGCCGAGCACCTGCGGTGTGTAACACCGGGTACTGTGACCCCTGGGCCAACGCGCTCGCCCTTTTGGAGGGGGCCCTGTTAAGGAAATCGATATAGAAATGGGGGATGACGAGTAAACGACTATTAAAGTTCACATCGAGGCTGTGGAGCAAGTAAACGGTGTTGTGAACAATAAAGAAGACGGGGCGACGAGGGCAGGATTTCTTTGGATGGTCAGTGTATACCTAAACATGTGGCTGAAATCCAGGGAATGAAGAGAGTTAGTTGAACACACCCTAGTCTATTGAGAATTTATAAGTGACTATTAAAAGGAGGTAAGGTACATGCATTGTGTATGGAAAATGTATTAAAAATACAGGTTCCTGACCTCCAGCCCAAACCCACTGAAACCACATATCCAGGTTCCAGGTTGGACTCTTACATGCCAGGGATGACTGGGGAGAGTTGGATCAGACAGTAATGTTCAAGGGTGTGTCCTGCGGGTTACACATTTTCAGGAACCCATAGAATGGACAGCACCAAGAGAGAACCCTAGTGTAAGCTGTGGACGTGAGTGATTGTGATGTGACAGTATGGGTTCATTGGTGGTAGCAAATATGCCTGTCTGGGGGAGTTATTGATAACCAGTGATGGCAAACCTCTTAAGAGCTTCCAGTGATTGCCTCTGTGGCAGGAATGCTATGGGTTCACCACCACTGGATTAGGCCATGGGATGGGGTAGGGAGTTCTCCATACCTTCCTCAGTTTTACTGTGCATCTGAAGGAACTCTTAAAAGAGATTTTTAAGAGACTCAAATCATACATTGTTTTTCTGACCATTGTTAGAAAGCTATAAAAACTAAGTAAGTTGGAAATTCCCAATATTAACGAATTAAACCGAATTAAACTGCAGACTTGTAAAATACCCATCTGTCAAAAAGTCACAGGGAAATGAAAAAATAATTTGAACTAAATAGGAGTGAAATTGTAACGTGTTGTGCTTCCAGATCCCACCACACATAATGATTAAAAAGACTGGCCACACCATCTGCAAAAATACAGGTTAACCAGAGTACTGATACCTGGTTCTGAAAGTAAAATCCTAGCATAGTCCTTTTGGAACAGTTTTAGCAGTTTGTTACAGAATTAAGCATATACCAACCTATGTCTGCACAATTACATGAGTGTTTACTGAAGAGATGAAAATCACCGTTAAGATTTGCACAGGGATATTTAGAGCAACTTTATTAGTAATAGAGAAAAATGCAGTCGGGGTCTGTCAAGCGTAAGTTGGATAAATACCCAGGAAGCCCTGCAGTGGACTACTCCACAGCTGAGAAAAAAGCTGTGCAAAAGATTGGATACTGCACAGTTCCATTTATAGAACATTCTAGACAAGCAAAATAAATATGGTTGACAGGTTGTAATGGTTTCCTTCTGCACACTGAGCAGGGGGAGGAAATATAAGGAAAGGGACATTCTGCCTTAATTGGGCTGTAGTGACAGTATTAAACTGAATGGCTTGGGAAAAAGGCCATTTACCTCTCACAGAAGGCTGCCAGTCTGAGGTCAGGAGACCAACAGGCTGCCTTCCTAAGGACTCTGTCTCTTTCCAAAGGGTGGACGTCTCACAGTGTCCCCACCTGGTGAATGGAGTAGTGGGCGTCACTGTCTTCCACAACACCCCAGCCATGTGCCCTGAGGTAAAATGCACAGACTTACACCATTTGCTACCCACTGATGCTTGTGTTCCCCGAAAACATAATCTATGGAAACCTCTGCTGGGGTGGGATTTGCAGCGGGGCCTTTGGGGGTTAGGATGCATTCTACCTCAAAACCAGCAAATGCTGTGCTCTAACACAGCTAAGGACATTTGAGAATGAAGTGTGCAAGTATCAGCACTTACTTGTAGTACTGAGGATTGAATCCAGGCCCTTCACACACACTGAATTGCATTTTCAGATTTATTTATTGTATTTCTTTTTTTCTTTTTTTGAGACAGTCTTGCTATGTTGCCAAAGCTGGGTTCAAACTTGTGTGATTTTCCTGGCTCAGCTTTCCAAAGAGTTGGAATTATAGTTGTGTAGCTTACTTAGTTTTTTTTTAAAGTGGATTTTTGGCTTAATAGATGAATGGACCAATGTCTGACAAAGAAAATACAGCAAAATGTTAAATGTTACATATAAGTGTAAATTGTTTACTGAATAATCCTTTCAATTTTGCCTATATTTGAAGATTTTTATAAGATGGAAAAAGTATGCAGAGTACTCAATAAAGCTTTTAAAATAATGACAAATAATATGAATATATGTGAAATGTAACAGAAAGTTTAAATTGCTCCATTTAAAAATAGCAGCGAGATAATAAAGTCATTTGAAACAGAAGCTGAGTTAATGTCTGCTTAGATTCTTCAGTCTCTGCTTCCAGCAAGAAAAAGTCTAAAATGATCTATGAAGAGCCAAGGTCTCAACGTCCTGGCTTTGTGCACTGCTTCAGTGGCATCGAAGCAGAACGAGGAGACCTCATACTGGAAGAGGAAGCTGACACATTGTGTATGACATAAGTTGCAGTGGCACAGAGTTTTACAAGTGTGAACAGCTCCCAGGTGGGGAGCTGAAGATGGGCCCAAATGCAGGAATGTTTAGCGGTAATTGTAACCAGGTCTAGTAAGCCCTCCTGGAGAATGGTGGCAGGGTGGGTACCATGGGAGGTTTCTATTTTGTGAAAACACAGTAACTGACAGAGGGCAGTGAAGGTGACCTGAGAGACTGAGATAGCACGGCCTCCCTAGGGTTGCCAACGCAGTCAACAGTTTTCTCAAAACCCCGTTCCTTTCCAGCTAACTTTATTAGTAAAACACGACAGGCGAACTGCCCTGGCTGCTTCCGACTCACCTTCGTGGACTTACTTTCCTGTATCTACCTGCGTTGTCTTAGGGTGAGCCGTCTGCCCACTCACACCTCACCTTGGTGCCCAGGCCTGAGTCTCAGGCAGGTCCCAGGCGGTGAGCCTGTGCTGCAGGCGCCTTGCGTTGTGCAGTGTTGTTGGGCAGGTCTCTGTTCCTTCACTGAAGTGCACTGGGGATACCATGGAGTCCACCAACTTCAGCGCTGCAGTTCAGTGACTCACAGGGCTGTGACCATCATCAGGATTTCAGGGGATAAAAGGGGATTTCACCCCTGGCAGTTCCCCTCAGTTCCCCTTCCTCCCCTTCACCTGCTGGCACCCCGGGCCCTCACTGTAATCCACTAGTAATCTCCTGCTTTCTAGATCACTGTCCTCATCTGGCCCCATCTTAAAAATAGTTCTGTCTAACTGACTGTCCTTTCTGTGACCAACATTTCCCTATTCTTCCCTCCCTTCTCCATCCCCTGGGCCCCCCCTGTTCTACCTCTGCTTCTACAGGATTAACTTTCCAGGATTCCACACATGGGTAAGGTCTTGCACTGCTGTGCCTGCCTTATTTTGCTTAATGCCATCCAGACTCACCCATGTTGTCACATAACATGATTTCCTTTTTTATGACTGAATAATATTCCATTCTGCATATGTACTGTGTCTTTGCTATCCATTCATCTGGATGAACACTTAGGTTGATTCTGTATCTTGGATTGCTCTTGGGAACATACTGATTGCACTCCTTTGGGATCTATTCCTAGTACTGGGACTGCTGGATCGTAGGATAGTGCTGCTTTTAACACTTCAAGGACCCTCCAAACTGTTTCCACGAGGGACATACTAACATCCCGCCAGCAGAGAGTAATGGCTTATTCCCATGTCCTCACTGGCCTCTGTTTCCTTGTCCTTCGACAGTAGCCATTCTAACAGGCAGGAGATGAAATACCTTACCGTGGTATAGATTTGCTTTTCCCTAATTATTACTTATCAGGCAAGCCCTTTAATATACCAGTTAGCTATTTGTGTGTCACCTTTTGAGAAACTACTGTTTTTTGCCTAGGTTATATAGTATTTGAGTTCACATATTAAGGTGTTTGAGTCCTTATGAAATCTGGCTGTTAACTCCTTATCAAAATGTAGTTTGTAGGGGCTGGGGATTTAGCTCAGCGGCATAAGCACCTGCCTTGCAAGCAGGAGGTCGTGAGTTCGATCCCCGGTACTAATAAAAAAGAAAAAAAAATGTAGTTTGTAAATACTTTCTCCCACTTTTTAGATTCCTTTTTTACGTTGTTGATTATTCTGTTTTGAAGGAGTCTTGTAGCTTCTTGTGATCTCAGTGGCCTAGGTGTTTCTGTTTACCTGTGCTTTTGAAGGCCCATGGAAACACCATTGTCCAGACATGAAGCAGTTCCCCTATGTTTTCTGGTAGGTTTGGGTTTTGGCTTTTTGCTGTTGTTTTTGTTTTTTGTGCCAGGAATCAAACTCATGACCTCGTGCTTGCCAGGCAGGTACTGTGCCACTGAACTACATCCCCAGACCATATTTGGGTCTTATATGTAAGTCTTTAATACACTTTGAGTTGTTTGTATATCATGAGAAATAAGCATCTAATTTCATTCTTTTCCCGATGAAGGTCCTGGTTTCCCATCACCAATTTATCTGCCTCAGAGCAAAGACCCTGTGTCATGTTAGGCTGTAGCTGTGCATTTTGGGGGGTGATGTACCTTTCAGCTTCTCAACTAGGTGCAGACAGGGGAAGTTGAGTCAGTGATTTCTTAACAACGCCCAAATTATTTAGCACTGTGGTAGAAAGTGGAACATGTATAAATTAATGTCAGTCTCAAAAATCTAATCAGCACGTATTTAGGACAAATCTCATCTGCATTTGGACATAAAGTTACTGTCCTCATTTTCTAGGTCACCAAGTCCATTTATTCATGCATTTGATTATATTTTTGACAGTATTTTAGTAAAATTTACCCACTAATTAAAAAATTCAAATATAAAGGAAAATGTTAAAAATCAAGTGATGTCATTCACTTATTAAAAACCATTCTCAGTTTAACCTAACTTCAGGTCCCTGTTAGGTAGATAGGATATCTAGGTTAATACTTAGAAAAATAAATATCTATAATGAAAACTGGTCATATTAAAATTATGTATAAAATAATGGAATTTACTTCTTTTGAGTTCAATAGAAGAAAAATGAACTAAAAGAAAGAGAAAAATGAAAGAATTTAAAATATCTAAATGTGATAGTTTTTACCATATGCAGTATTGCTTAATTATAATGCTTAGGTTACGAACAATTATGAAAAACACTAAGATTTAAATTATACATATTCTAAAAATGTTTTAGTTTTAAACAATAGAATTGGTACCCTGCTATGAGTAAATTAACACACTTCAGAAAGAAGATGGGGCAGGTCATGTACATATTTGGAAGGAAGAAATCTCTGTTCACAGATAACAGGACTGTCTATGTTAAAATCCCAAAGAATCAGCAAAACCTCCTGGAACTAGTGAGCAGCGAGAGCAAGATTTCACGATGCAAGATTAACACCCAAAACTCGGCAGGCTTTCAGATAATGCCTAAGAAACTGACACTTGAAAAAACACACTGCTTATCCTAGGGCCAGGTTGGAGTAGAGACCACAGGAGCCCGCAAGCCAAATAGTAACTCACGTGACGTAGGCACAAGTTTAACTATGCAAAGGCCACATCTGAGAAAAACTTTAAACCTCCAAGGAAAGAATTCAGATCTGGACAAGCAGACGGATTCATTCCCTGCATAAGAAAGCAGTATTGTTCAGACACCAGTTCCTCCCAGCTTCATCTACAGATCCAATGTATTTTTTGCCAAAATTCCAGCTTGCTATTTTGTAATTTTCAAAAAAGTTCAGGGTCTTTTAAGATAGCAATTGTGTATATATTTTTGAGTTTCATTGTGCTGTTTCAGTTCATGCATGTGACGAGTGACGTCACCTCACACACAATTTTTTTTGTGGTGAGAACATTCAAAGACCTGCCTGCCTGCAAGCTCCTTAGAAATTTGGAATACGTTTCTGTTGGCCATCGGCACCCTGCTTTGCAGTAGAGCCTCATTATCCTTCCTGTCTGAGTGACACTTTGTACCCATTCCCTGAGCCCTCTCCACCCTCCATCCCAGGCCCAAGTGGGCACTGCTTTACACTGAACTTCAGTGAGGTCAGCTTGTTTCAGAGACTGAGGTCATGTGACCTTTGTCTTTCCGTGTATTTTTTCGTGTCACATCATGTCCCCAGTGTTCTTTAGTATTGTCCCCAGTGGCAGGATCCCCTCCCTTTGTGTGCTGAGCAGCATTCCACTGATTTCAATCCATTCACCTTTGGGCAGACACAGAGGACGAGGCCTGTCCTGGCTGTCACCCACAGGGCTGCGAGCTTCTCTTCAGGAGAAGGACTTCAGTTCCCTGGGACATGCCCACTAGTGGGACTGCTGAGTCACACAGTGGCCCTGTTCCCAATTTTATGAGGATCCTCCATCCTGTTACCCATAATGGCCATTCTGATAGAGACACATAGCAGCAAAAGAAGAAAACCAAATCGTCCAGTCTAGGTTTAAAAAAAAATGTTCACAAGGCCTAATATAGAATGAAAAGGTAAACCATAGGCGGGGGGAAAACATTGCAAGGCTTATCTGGAAATAGACTTGAATCCAGTGTATAAATGACCCTCAGGATTAGAAAACAAGTCAATTGAAATGTCAAAGAATCTGGACACTGCAAGTGAGCCTATGAACAGGTCAGGAGGTTGGTGTCAGGGTGATCTGGAAATGCAGGTGCAAACTACAATGGTCGAATGACAAAGCCCCCGGAACACTGACAGCATCAGGGTCTGGCAGGGCAGTGGAGCAGCAGGAACACAGTCACTGCGGGTAGGACGGGGCGGCGCGGCCTGTGTGGAAGACCATCTGGGTTTCTGCATGAAGGTGCACACGGCTGCCGTGCTCCACAGTGGCCTCCTTGTTACACAGCAGGAAGCCTCAGACAGTGACAGCAGCCTTAGCCACACTTGCTCCTAGGGCCCACCAGTGGCCTTCGGTGGATGCATGAGACCAACTCCCAGACACCGCAGTGTTACCCCAGCTGAATGAAATGGGCTGTCATGCTGCAAGTGCATAAGGAGGAGCGTAGGTTCACATGGCTAAGCAGCTGGTCTGAGGACGCTGTGTACTGTCAGTTCCAAGTCCCTGACGCCTGGAGAAGGCGGAACTTTGGAGACAGCAAAGCTCACAGCGGCTTCCAGGGCAGAGGGAGAAAATGAGTCCCTGAAGGTTGTAGGTGCAGTGAAACCACTCTACAGTGCAGCTGAGCCTAGTGAGCCCAAGGCAAACTGTGGGTTTCAGTTAGATTTATCAGCAGGGAGCCAGCGACCACAGCAGTATCTGCTGGGGTATTTGTTTAAGGTGAGTACTCTGGCTTTGCTTTTCTTTGCTTTTTATAAGATTTTCTCAGTTGTTTTATTTTATTCCTTCTGTAGTGATTAGCTTTAGGTTTTTATGCACTTTATTGACTCCATTTTCTAATTTTCTGTTTCTTGCTGTTTTTAAGTCATTCTCTTTCTGGTTCTTAGCTTACGCTCCTTGTTATAGTTTTTCTTTTCTTTCACTCCACATTTTAAATTAGTCCACCGATGAGAAAGCGTTCTGTGGGGATGGCATCCTGAGGGTCCCCGCCTGTGTCTCTGATAGAACGGTTTGTCTGTCCTTATTTGCTTTGGCGTCTCTCTCTGCGCATCCCTCGGCACTGTGTACAGCTTAAATTCCAAAGGTCCTTTAGAATGTGTTAGAAAGTCTGCACACCCTCCACGCAGGCAGCGCAGGCTGGCGCCCCCTCCCGGAGCCCTGGGCCCTGCGCAGCCGAGTTGAGCGCGGTGCGGTGCTCTCCTGGCAGCTGGGTGGCGCCTCATCCGTGGCTCCGCAGCCTGTTGGGGAGGCGCCCGGAGCGCTGGCTGCTGCGCTGGACTGGAGGATGTGGATGCTGTTATCTGACCCTGCGCCCCATCCCAGCATCCCGGGTCCGCAGCAGCCCCCCATGGCCTGTGCAGCACAGCGGGCACTGGGGACCCAGATCGCCAGGTTCCAGGCGGTTCCAGGCCTCTCCCGCCCCTGCTCAGGGTGTCGCCTGGTCCTTTCTACTCAAAAAGATTTCCTTTGAATTTGCTTGGGCTTCCTGTTCAACTCCTCACTGCTTTCCTTCAAAGTAAAGAAAGAGTTATGGAAATTCTCAGTGGGAGCTTTGCCAAGCCATGCCATAAACTAACTTTCTTTCTCTTTCTCTTTCTCTTTCTTTTCTTTTTCTTTCTTTCTTTCTTTCTTTCTTTCTTTCTTTCTTTCTTTCTTTCTCACTGCTTGCTGAAGTTTATGGCGAGAAGCTGTATGCTTTTCTTTTCTTGGTTCTTCCTCTTGACCTCTCTGCTGCTGTTTGAAATTATTTTTCATAACATTAGAAGTTGAAAGAGACACATTCTGGGCTCCTGGTTTGTTTCACAGGCGTTGCCAGTTTAGTGAAGTAGGAAGTGAACGCAGGCTCTGCTGTCTGGGATCCTCTTAAGCCAGAGTTGTGTTTAACTGGAAAACCCAGAGATCCCTGCAGTTATTCCGAGAAGCCCGTTTATACGCGCTGGGTCCCCTTCTGCCCCTGTGCTATGTGAGCTGATGGGGTGACTCCACCCTAAAAAGGGAAGTGGCCAGTGATGTCACCCCAGTTAGCAGTGCTGTGAAGAACTCAAAACAACAAAACAGTGCCAAACAGGCTGGAAAGATCCTTGTAAGATAAAGGGTTCAGCTGCCTGTTTTACAGACAAATGGCGGCAAATGAGGAAAATATAGAGGTTTTTGAGCCAACTTTCTGACCCTAAGGCCAGAACACGTCTCCATTTTATCTGTTACTCTACTGTGTCCCTGTCATGGCTACTGTCTAGCTGGTTTTAGAAATCAGAAATTAAATACCCAGCCCTCAGCTTAGTTCTTTCCAGTCTGAGAAAGGTCTGGCTTCTTCCCATGCTGTGTCTGGTCCTGATTCGATGGGTGGGCGACAGCCTCCTTTACCTTCCTGCTGCCAACAAGACCCCAGACCAAGGGCTGGGGTAACCTAGAGGAAGGGAGTCGCTGTGTGATAAAGAGCATACAATTAAATTAAATGAAAAAGGGAAAACACACATTTTCAACATTGGGGCAGAAGGTGGCACTGCAGCCTTAAAAAGACCTGATAGGAGAGAGCAAACAGATTTATGCTATGAAATTTGACAACTTAGAAGCCATGAACAAAGGCCCTAAGGAAAAAACTATTAGTAGGGAATCTGAATACACATTAGAATTGAGCTCATAATTTGTAACTATGGAAACAAAATGCTAAGTCCAAATGCCTTCACTAGAGAATTTTACCCAACATTTAAAAATAGTATTAATACACAAATTCTTGTAGGAAATACAGAACAGAGAACACTTTCCAGCTTAATTTTGAACCTAGAACTACTGTGATACCAAAATCAGGCAAATACTTCAAAGAAAACTAAACACTATTACTTTTTGAGTTTGATGCTGAAGTTCTTAGCAAACTGTTAACAAACAGAATCCAGATATGCACAGTAAGTTATGACAGACAAGTGGTATGTTTTTAGGAGTGCTAAGGAAAAATGTACATTCGACAAAATTTACTCCACACTCATAAAGAAGACGTGCATTAGAATGGGAATAATTCAAAGGCTGGAGACAGTCTAAAAGTCTGTGATAAGAAAACGGGAAAATACACAGGGGTATTCTTTCAGAAGGAAGACTGAATGGTGTACTGATAAATGTAACAGTATAAATAGAAATGTAATGTTATATTGAATGAAAGAAGCACACATTTAAATAGACACAGAAGAGTATACGGCGTGTAATTTCACTATACGAAACTGTAAAATCAAAGCTGAGCTTAGTGACTCAAAGCAGATCAGCAGTTGCCTAAGGTAGGAATTTGGGCCGAGATTATTTGAAAATAGGCACAAGGGTGATTCTGGAAACTAAAATCTTGGCGTTCATGGCTGCCTGGGTGTGTTTACATTTGCTTTAACTCCTTGAACGGATAAACTCTAGAGATGCATTTTATGGAATTATTATGCCACTATTCCTTTTTAAGAGAGTGCCTGAGATGGTACATGTATATTTATGTTCTTTGTATCTTGAAACAAATTATTTCTCTTGTTAGGAAATCCATAGAATCCTTCCCGGAAAGTTTCTCATGTTTTTATTAGCACTATCTGGAAGAGGCACCAGAGGGCGCTGTTTCTCCGCGAAAGCATAAGCGGCACGGACACTTTCTGCGCCGGGTGTTCTAGGAGTTGTTGATAACCTGCTTATCACTGCCTGGATCCGATGACTGTCACATATCCTGCAAGCTTCCAACAGGCTTATTGCCAGGGTTTGGTTTTCTGTTGTTAATGAAAATAAAAAGGTAAATAACGTGCAGTTAGCCATATCCTGTTGGGAGATTCTTGTCTACTAGTTTGTTGCTGACTGCCCGGAAATGTGCCTGACTTCTGCATTTCCGTGCAAGACTTTGGCGTGTAGTTCAGAGCGGCGCCACGAGAGGGCAGTGCAGACGCACATACCGTACCGTGCGCGCCCGCGTGCGAACATTGGCGTCCGCACCGCCTGGACCCGAGGCCACGGTCGGTGAGCACCAAGAGCCTCGCCCCGCCAACGGGGGAGCGTGAAGGCCAAGCTATCCCCTCTGTGGGAGCCGCCGTTTGCTTCGGATTTTTTTTTTTTTGAGACAGGGTCTCACTATGCAGTCCAGACTGGCCTTGAGCTCACTTGTAGCCCGGGCTGGCCTCGAATTCGCACGGATCCTCCTGCTTCAGCCTCCTGCGCGCTGGGCTCGCAGGCGTGTGCCACCCGCCCGGCGTTGAGTCACAATGTTTCAGTTTGAAACTGTTCCTCAAGGTAACTGAGCGGCCCAGCACTCTGGCTGTGCGAGCTCCCGGTGTCTCTGGCCTGGGCCACGCGGCCTCTGCTCCTCCTCGCCTGAGCCCCAGCCTGGGCCGGGCTCTGTGCATTACTGAGCCCGGCAGGCCTCCCCTCACCCACGCCCTGCTCTTCCAGCTGCGGTGCGCGGACCCCCTTTGCTGGAGTGGCGTCTGTCCGCCCTCCTCCCCGGCCTTCTCCTGCCTGCCAGAGGTCGCGCCCAGCCTCAGCCTCTCCGCGCCCTACTCCCCACCACTGGAGCGTCCCGTTTACCGCTGCGGAGCCAGGAATGCAGATGGAGCCTGTACCGGAGAGAAGCCCGGAGCAGGGGTGCCTAGAGCCGGCCCGATCAGGTGCAAGCGCGCGCTCCGCTGCCCCTGGCCACGAGGCTCCAGGCACCGAGGAAGGGTGATGCACTTTGGGGCGGGCGTGGGGTGGGGGCACCGTGACGTTACATAATCCCAAGGGCGCGTGGCTTGGCTGGAAGGGGAGTCCGGAACTAAGCTGGTGGTCCCTGCGCAGCCTGTCTGTTACACTAAGGGAGTTCATCTAGAGCAGCGGAAGGAGGTGAGCAGCAGGCCCGTCTGGTGCGGGCTCTCCTCGCCCACATACAGGCACATTGAGGTGCAGACTATCTGCGTAACACTGAATAGCACCGGGCAAGTCTCTAACCCCAACCCTAACGGATGCGTGAATGGGTGTGTGAGGAAGACAGAAGTCAATGAAACAGGACTGAAATTTAGAAAGGCCTGCAGTCAGGTCTTGCTAGGACCGCGGGCCTGTAGGTAAATGGGTGCCTGCAGCTGAGCGTGGAGACCCTCACCAACGCAGCTCGGCCCCGGGCTCCCAATGCAAGCCAGTTCTGACCGGCACTGTCCTCAGCCGGCTCCCAAGCTGACCCGGGCTGTTTCCCATCACTCTGGTGCTGGAGCCGCAGTTTCACGTTCCTCTTTACCGGAGGAACAGACTGGATGAGACCGGTTCCGGTCCCCTTCGTGCCAAAGGGAATCGTTATTCTGACTGGTGTGTTCACATCACGACCAGAATCTGTCCTGGATTAGCTCCTGGCAGCAGGCGTGTAATGAAGTCACTTCCATCGGTATAAGATCAGCGCTGGCAATGCTTACTCCATCGTGGTCAATTGCTCAGTGCTTCTAAATTAGAAAAATAGAAGAGAAATTGTTACATGGAGGAAAAGTATGGGATGAGCTAAATCCCGAAGAGAGTGACTAACACTGCCACGGAAAGTACTCCTCAGGCTTGACCCGGTTCACCTCTGAAGAGAGGGGGTTCCCAAGTGTAATTCACATGCTGCCGGTCCTGGCTCTCAGGTGTAAATCTCTGGGGCAGATGCTATCGACTTGTAAACTTAATAGGATTCAAAAAATTATATAAAGGGTGAAAAACAAATCTTCAGTGGCCATGATGGCTCATTGCTGGAGTCACTTTCCTCCACCAATGTAATAGCTGAGCTTCGAGTCCCTTAGGAATTGAAAACTGACACACGATGGAGAAATGACACAAGTTAGTTCACTGTGTATTTCTACGAGTGAAGTATTCTGTTGCAAGAACTGTGAAGTAATTTTCTTAAACTAGTACTAGTTTAAGACAAATTATGAGATTCCATATTCTTACATCTTCCTTAAAATTCTCTTCAGCACCATTTCCCTGCACTTTTTCTTCCTGTCTTCTGTTTCTTCTCAGATGTTGTAATCTTTCCCTGTGTACTAATAAGACTTCACGGCAATTCGTATTTCCTGCACACATTGCACGTTAAAGAGCCTCACCGGCTCTCATCACGTTAAATTTCACATGAATACGGGATGTAAGTCCATCTGACCTTTGCAGTCTTCCTAGAAAATCGCACAGATCTCCACTTACAGGTGCTGCAAGTGCTCCACACGCAGCTCATGCACACACCTTCTCCCCCCACCAGCTCCTGTGCTGTTTCCACGTCAATATTCCCATAAACGCCACCCGCTTTTCTAGTCTGGACTTTCCTTAGTTCCTGCTCTCGCTGGCAGCGCACCCTCCTTAAAGCCTTCCCTCGCTTTTCTTTCCTTGAGGCTTCCTTCTAATGTGGAGCGACTTGCTGTGAGCTCAAGTCCAGTCTGCAGTTCTGTGGTTGCTCAGTGTGCACAGCAGCTGTGGGTGGGGGCCCCAAGTCATCAGGTCGCACCCCAAGGCCTCACCTAGGAGATGAGGCCTCTACAAGGCTCTGAGTTCAGCAGACATAAATCACGGGGAATATGCCAGGATAGAATAAAAATAACCCGAGAAAATATTCCTTCTGGGTACAGATACTTATGTGCTGGGAAAGAAAAGCCGTGAGAATGAAAGCCTTCAATACTGACCTCCATCAAGAGGAGAAAAAGTGAGAAACTGAGGCAGAGTGAACTGGGTTTGGATTTTAGCCCCACTGTGTACTTTTCTCTGAGGAGGAATTGTTTTACTTTAGCTTTGGTTTCCTTTTCAGTAAAGCAAACATACTAATACCTCACTCAAAGGCCCATTTTGACAGCTAAGCAACATTGCACACAGTCTCCTTCCAGAGGTGGACACAGGGTAGATGCATCGGCCAGCTTCAGCTCTTGGACAAAATCCTCACCACTTACAACTCTGAGCCAGGGCTTACTTTGGCTTACAGTTTCAGAGGCTTCAGTTCATGGCTCCCCACCAGAAGCCCCACAGCAGAAGAGCGAGCAGAGGAAGAAAGCTGCTCCACACACCACACACGGTCTCCAGCCAGCAGGGAGCAGGACTCAGGAGTCACGGAGGAAGGGGCCCAGGTTGTCCTGAGGCTCAGGTTCCCACCCGACCGCCTCTAACCAGCCCCACCTCTGTCAGCTAGGTCAGCTGTGACTGTCCACGCTGCATCCATCGCTGGGGTCTTTGCCCACAGATCCAGTCCTGTCCCAGGACTCTCTGAATCCACTGAGGCTGACAATCAGGATTAATGGGCACTGCTGATTATCACCAAATCATGGCCAGGGTTACAAAGCAGCAGGGGACATCCCTCTTGAGGCTGGAATGCTAATGTCTAAAAGTAACAGTGTGAAGAAGTAATAACAAGAGTGTCACCAAGAACGCCATTGGCCAGGAAGAGGAAGTAACAGCCGCTCTGGAAGCAGCAGACTGTCCGGGAGAGAAAAAAACAGAAACCTGTAGACACGGCAGGGCCACACACTGCTGACAAAGATGACAGGGCCACACACTGCTGACAAAGATGACTGTCACATAAAGCAAGACACCTTAGGTCTTTCTAGTCTTTATAAACAGCCTCTGTCTGCCGGCTCGGCTGCTCCAGTGGCTTCTGAGTCTGAAAGCATTTCCGTCACTATTCTCTCCCAGCGAGCCAGCGCTCGGGGAAGCAGAGATGAACAGAGCTTCCCTGGGGTGTGGGCTGGGTGCAGGGGGACACTGGCTAGAAACTGCCGTTTGTGTCCCCACCAGACAACGGAAAGAGAGCTGCAGCTTGGTCTGGGATCTTACAGGTCATTCAGTCCAGCATTTCATTTACCACAGAAGAAACCCAAACTGGACCAGCTGAGTTGGACCAGTCTCGGGGCTTCTGAAAGGCGAGCCAGGCCCAGCGCCCAGAGGCTCAGCTGCCCTTCCCAGGGCTGCGGCTGGGAGTTGCTCTTTCAGATGCAAATGCTTTGTGCGCTTTGTCTTAGGTTACTAACGAGGGTTTGCTGCCGGGTAATGAGGTGGATTAGAGGTGTCACAATCACCAGCCTCTCCTAAAGCATCGCGATTTTTCCTTTGTTTCTGCTTAGGACGTGAAACCCTTGCTTGTTTTCCTTTTCTTACAGCTTGAAGGGCGGACAGCAGCACGCACAGCTTGATTTACTTGTTCCAGTGGACGACACAAGTAGTGAGAATGAGATGAGGAAAATAAACGGCCCCCAGGGAAGTCTTCGCTATCCCGGTTCCCACCCCTGCTTCGGGATGAAATCCAGCAGGGCCGTTGCTAAGCTACTGGAGCAGCTGGACTCAGTGGGAGTCTGGGTGGTCTCACAAAAACTTGCTGAAGCTCTGAAGAGGCTGAGACATGATGGGCATCCTGGATGGAGCCCCTGGGAACAGGTCAGGGCTCCGTGGACCCACTCACCCACTGTTTCCTGACAGTGTCCTGGAGGCTGGGTGTCCCAGCCCGGTGGGGATTTGCGGTCCCTGCTTTGGTCCAGACACTGAGTGTGACAGATGCCATAGTGGGGTGAGGTGACTTAAGTTTCAGATGTGCCAGCATGGAGTCTCATCTGTCTTTTAGGTCCTGAAGTTTGTTGGGAAGCAGGGACCCGAGGGATGGAAGAGGGCAGGAAGCTAAAGAGGGCGCTTTAGTCAGGCACCAGAGGTGCTAGGGAATCGAAGGCGGCCCAGAGGCAAGCTCCAGTACAAGGGCCGTGCAGAGCAGGCAGGGCTGAGGCAGGATGGGCAGGAGGAGCCGGCTGGCCTTGAGTGCCCTCCAGTACCTCTTCCTGTCTGCCCAGGACGTTGCAGGTGGTAACTGTGTTTCAGGACAGTGTGAGCTGCCTGGTGTTCCGTGGGTGCTGAGATACCAGGTGACCTGGAAAGGGTAGCGGGGGCAGGCCAGGGAATGCAACGAGTCCAGCCACTTGGGAAGGTGCTGTTGAGCAGAGAGAAGCACAGTTTGTGACTGAGTCAGTGCCCCGTGTCTTTGAGAAAGGCCCGGATGGCGCAGGAGGTAGGATTGGCGTTAGCTGGCAGACAAGAAAGATTTCAGGTAGTTACAGCTTGCAGGGACAGCAGGCCTTTTCTTTCCTCACCTGCAGGCAGGCAGGCAGGCCGGGCACAGGCCTCGAGGTGCCGTGGGTGCCATGCTGTGGGAGAGGCAGTGCTGTGCTGGTCTTGGAGGGTGCTCCCTGAGCTGCATTCTAGCACGAAGTCAGGATGAGAAACCAGTGTCTCCTCCATACAAGCTTCTTCCTTTCCTCTTGGTCCATCCAGATGCTTGACTTTGAGCTGCTGGTTGAATTCCCAGCCTCACCCCACAATACCACAGCTGGTGGAAATGGCCAGCACCACCACCACTAAGCAGCCCTTGATCACTTACCACTTCAGAGTGGAATTGATCACTTCAGAGCAGGGTGATCGCTTCAGAGCAAAGTGATCACTTCAGAGTGGAATTGATCATTTAGAGTAGAGTCACTCACTGCTGTGGCCTGTCCTGTCATGTCTTCCTGTCTTTTTAAAAGGCATTTCTTATATTTTTAAACTTTTTATTCTTAAACGATTTCAGAGTTCACAAAAACCAACATACTACAAAATCTAGAGCTAGCGTGCACCTTTTATCTATCTTTGTCAAATGTCACTGCCCTAAATAACTAGTAAAATTATCAAAGCCAGCACCGTAATGGTGAACTCTGGGGTTTCATCCACACTCCTCACTCAGATTTCAGCATCACACCAGTGTCACCACGGGTCCTGGTTCCGGATCAGGTCCCCGACTGCAGGTTACACTGATTGTCAGGGCCTCTCTTCCTCCTCTCACCACCTCTGTGCTTTTCCAGTGTGTAACAGCAGAAGACACTCGAATGTCATTGGGGGTCCTCAGCACTGGTGTCAACACTGTGTCCCCCACCTGGAGAAGGGTGAGTAGGGTCTTTGCTGAACGGTGTCCCTAGAACCCATGGTGACCCACTATGGGTGACCAGGCAGGAAGTGGTTCAGGAGGTGCCCGTGGGCCCACACCTGTCCTGGGGCCGGTGCCCCAGGCCGCCTGGAGCAGCCCTACTGACCTCCCCGTGCTGTCCTGCTCCCATCTCACCACGAGAGGCACCCTGACCCGCGCCCGTTGGGCTACCTGCCTCAGTATGACCTTGTCAGTGAGTCTTCCAGGGATCCCAGAGCTTGCACCCACAAACCCCGGACTTCTCTGGACAGTGCAAGGCCCAGGACTCCACATGGGAGCAGAGGGAGGGGTTGCAGCCAGCTGGAAATGGCAAAGAAAGAGCTGAGAGTGGCAGCTAGGGGTACAAGGAGGACCCCGTTGGAAGTCTGTCAGGAGGCCACCAGCCACACCTGCACTCAGACAGGGACACAGTTCCTCCCCACCCGGGGGACTGGGCCAGGTATTACAAACGGTGCCCTGGAGAGAGCTGGGTGGAGGACCGCTGGCATCCCTGCGTCCCCTCCGGAGGGAGCAGTGTCCCTGAGAGTGCAGCCCCGCACACTGCAGGACACCGCAGGGCCCACTGCAGGACATGCTGTGGGTCCCACGCTCCCATGCTGGGTGAAGAGTTGCGCGTCCCCCATGGTGTGGCCGCTCCTCTGCCCTTCCCTCTGCTCCGGAGGAGGCTTCTCCCAGGACCTTGCGGGTCATCTGTGAAGGAGGATCGGCTCAGCCGCCAGGACCAGAGCTTATCTGAGAGGCGCTGCCTTCCAGGGGCACCACGGGACAGTTTGTGCGCAAGACGTTGAGTAACAGTTACCATAAGCTGATTAGCACATCCGTCGCCACCCCAGTAATCACGGGGCTCGTGAGGACACTGAAATCTGCCCCACCTGATTCCAACCAGGAACCACACCTCTCCAAGCCACGCCCTGCGCGCCCCATTCCCGGTGACCTTCGGGGCCTCCTCCCCTTCTCACCCCCACTCCCGATTGTGCTAATTCCTTTACCACCATCCTGCCTTCCTCTCAGGGCTGGTTTCTTCTCATTCCTTCTGTTTTTAGTAACTATTATCAGGAAAGAGGCCCAAATTGGGGGTGGAGGAAGCAGATTAAAATAAAAAATAAGAGACAGAGAGAGATGAGGCAGAGACAGACAGAGACAAATGGAGACAGCTAGAAGAAAAGGAGAGAGGGTCATAAAGAGAGTGATTAAGATGAAGAAGATTAAAGCAAAGAATAGAGAGGAGAGGAGAAGGGAGGAGAGGGGAGGAGAGGAGAGAGGGGAGAGGGGGAGAGGAGGGGAGGAAAGGGCAGGGGAAGGGAGGGGAGGGGAGAGGCATCTTTCTGCCCCTTGTCTGGGAAACTCCCTGTGGATCAGCTGGTTCCTGTGGGTGCTGCTCTGTGACTGCATCTTGCTCCGGGAAGATCCTAGAAGTTAAAGGAGGGCTTTGAACACATAGGCCTCAATCCCTTGAGGGAGTTGGAATCAACCGACTGGTCACAGAGCTGGGCAGTGTTGGGGCAGCAGGGAGGGCCACAGCGGGGCAGTGAGGTCAGTCAGCCCAGCAGCTCACTTCCGGTGAGTAACACAGGTGTCTGGGGGACTAAGGTGATGAGGAAATGACCTTTGGGCCTCAGACCCAACCCAGAGACCTTGATCTGCTCCTCGGCCTGAGCAAGTCCAGCTCTGGTCCAGGGGACGCTGCCGGTCTTCCCAAGGCTGGCCTGTCCCAGCCCTGGTCTGCTGCTGTTTCTGGTACCTCTCCTGGCAAGTGAGAAACTCTTCCATTAAGCAGCAGAAGAGAATCAGCCATTTCCAATTTGCTAAAGTCATTGTTTAACCTTCTCAGTGCCTGTGCTTAACTGTATAAACAATTGTAAGTGTGGCCTGAAAATATTACTTCAAGTGGTCTCATGTTATCACAGGGAACTCATTTTAATGGATGAGGAGGAGCTACTGCATCCTGACTTCCTCAGCCTTCTCCTCCTGTCTGGTAGTTTGTGTTTCGTCTTTTATGGCTACACGTCATCTTATAATTATTTCTTCCACTCACGTAGCATCTTTATCTTTTTACTATTTCCTTAGGGTAAATCCCCAGCAGTTAGAATACTGGTCAAAGTTACAGGGGTTTTTCAGGGCTTTTAATTTCCCTTTGAGCTGTAGCAGTTTATACCACTCCTTTCACTGTATGTATGCATTTTAATTATATTGTCACTCTCTTCTCCTGTATTTTAATTACTTCCTCTTTTATTTAGAGAAATTCTATACTTTGTGTAACTGCGTTATTTTTCTCTCTTCCACTGCTTCAGTTTTTAGGATGCTAGCATCATTTTAAAGTTCTAATGGAATCCACCTTTCTGCAGGCTCATCTCTGATTTCCCGTACCATTCTTTCATGTGTTGGGAGATTTTAAATATGATTGTACATTTCCTCAAAACACTGTGTAATTAACTCACTATCTTGTGTTTTCTGTTTTATCAATGTTTCTTGAATCCCACATTAACCACAGCTGCTTTCTGGGCTCTCAGTGCTGTTTCACTCTTACAGGTTTTACTTTCTCCTTTATTCTTCTTTTCTTGAAACCCAGTGCTTTAGAGCATGCTTAAACATCAGCTGCACATACTCATCCCTTGTTATAATTGTCCTCAAGATATTCTTCTCTGATTCCCTAACTTCTGTGCTGTTTAGGTAACTGATCGTTTGGTCATAGGATGAGATGAAGCAGTGCTGTGATCAACCTACTCTGAATTGATCAGTTCTACTCTGAAATGATCACCCTGCCCTGAAGTGATCACTCTGCCCTGAAGTGATCACTCTGCGCTGAAGTGATCACTCTGCGCTGAAGTGATCACTCTGCTCTGAAGTGATCACTCTGCGCTGAAGTGATCACTCTGCGCTGAAGTGATCACTCTGCTCTGAAGTGATCGCTCTGCTCTGAAGTGATCACTCTGCTCTGAAGTGATCACTCTGCTTTGATGTGATCACTCTGCTTTGAAGTGATCACTCTGCGCTGAAGTGATCACTCTGCGCTGAAGTGATCACTCTGCGCTGAAGTGATCACTCTGCGCTGAAGTGATCGCTCTGCTCTGAAGTGATCACTCTGCTCTGAAGTGATCACTCTGCTTTGATGTGATCACTCTGCTTTGAAGTGATCGCTCTGCTCTGAAGTGATCACTCTGCGCTGAAGTGATCACTCTGCTCTGAAGTGATCACTCTGCTCTGAAGTGATCACTCTGCTCTGAAGTGATCACCCTGCTCTGAAGTGATCACTCTGCTCTGAAGTGATCACTCTGCGCTGAAGTGATCACTCTGCGCTGAAGTGATCACTCTGCTCTGAAGTGATCGCTCTGCTCTGAAGTGATCACTCTGCTCTGAAGTGATCACTCTGCTCTGAAGTGATCACTCTGCTTTGATGTGATCACTCTGCTTTGAAGTGATCGCTCTGCTCTGAAGTGATCACTCTGCGCTGAAGTGATCACTCTGCTCTGAAGTGATCACTCTGCTCTGAAGTAATCACTCTGCTCTGAAGTGATCACTCTGCTTTGATGTGATCACTCTGCTTTGAAGTGATCGCTCTGCTCTGAAGTGATCACTCTGCTCTGAAGTGATCACTCTGCTCTGATGTGATCGCTCTGCTCTGATGTGATCACTCTGCTTTGAAGTGATCACTCTGCTCTGAAGTGATCACCCTGCTCTGAAGTGATCACTCTGCTCTAAAGTGATCACCCTGCTCTGAAGTGATCACTCTGCTCTGATGTGATCCCTCTGCTCTGAAGTGATCACCCCATTCCGAAGTGATCAACTCTTTCTGAAGTGATCAACTCTGCTCTGAAATGATCATCGCCTTCTGAAGTGATCACCCTGCTCTCAAGTGATTATCCTGCTCTGAAGTGGCCAGCCTGTTCCCCACACCCATCTTTGCCTTCCTGCTCTGAGCCTGGGCAGCACTGCTCTTGGTGGAGTTGGATTCAGTGTCCCTGTTCCCCTCACTCCTGACCACCATGGCAGATTGAGACCATCGTTCGAGGACAGTCACCACCATGGTCCACTTTTCCTGCTCTCCTAGTGTTACCAGCTCCCAGTCTGCAGGACCCTGTCTGTCTGTGTTCTCTGACTTGAGGTGGCTACTGATGGACACTATGACCAACCACTCTGACTTAGCATGCAGGGAGGAGACTGGGGCTGGTGGAGATGGGCAGAGCCTCGGCAGATGGGAACACGAGCGTTCATCCATCCACACCTCCCTGTTCCGTGTTTACAGTCAGAGCAAATAATAAAGGAAATGTCAGTCACCAGCTGGCAGAAGAAATATACTCCTTAGGAACAGGGCACCTAAGCGTGAATTTCCTAGGTTTGACAGCAACATAGTTAAAACAGAAAATTACAGAATGAATGACAAGACACACAGTGGGGAACAAACAGGTGACAGAGGCAGAGACTAGATGATTCTGCCTCATAAAGCCAACTTGCTGGAGTCCTCAGACTGCTCCAGACCTTCTGCTGGGCCCCCAGCGGAAGCAGTAGGCTCCTCAGCCTGCAGTAGGGGGAGCTGCAGTTCAGAATGCAGGGTTCACTGTGGCTGAGCAGTAGCTGGACAAGGGCCGTTGCAGGAGATCTGGCGCTGATACGCTCCTTACATGGAAAGCAGCTGCAGGCCTCAACCTCCTCAGCGGATGGCAGGACACAGGATCTGTCCGCCCACATCGCCGTCCACATTAGAGACCGGGTCCTCAGCCTCAGTTCTTCCTCTCAGGCCTTGGTTACCCTTGGGGCCACCCCCATGGCTGGTCCTGGCCCCACCGTGCCCTCCTTTCTTTCTCCTTCCCCAAGGCCACTGTTGTCTCTGCTATTTAAAATGACAGGTGGCTTTCAAATGGGGCTCATACAGTCCAGTCCTCCCCCCACTTGATCCACAGTGTGATCTGCCCCCAGAGGGTGCCACTGTCCTCTTAGTGCCCTCAAGACCCCCTCAGGCAGCCCCTCCAGCGCCTCATTCCTCCTGGTGCCCATGCAAGGCGCTAGGCCTTGTAACCCGTCACTGGTGTGTGCCATACTTTCGGTTGATTGCTAACCTCTGGTGAGAAGTCCTCTGAGCCGAGATGTTGTTTTGCCTGGAGACGACAGGCCTTGCCTTCCTCTGGTGTTACACATCGTGCCCTTTCCATTTCAAGATTCCTCCTAGCACTTTCCCCTGAAGCCACTGCCTCTGCGCTGAGCCCAGTGAGGCCTCGCACAGCTCCTGGGGAGGCCGGGATGCCCAGCACACTTGCTGCCTCTCACCCAGCGCCCCCGCCTGCTGAGTGAGTCACTTCTTCAGGGGGCTCTTGGTGCCAACTTGACTCCCAGCCAGGGCCTGGTGGTTGTAACAACTCCTGAGAAGGATTCCTGGCTGTCTGCTGAAACTAAGTTGCTGCAGGCCTTCATTATATGCTGGAATCTCCCTCCATTTTCCCTCTGATCATTCTACCCATGATCCTCTGGGTTCACCACCCCCGTCCACTCGTCCACTCCTTCCTCTGTGACTTCTATGGAAACAGGCATTAAACCTGCCGTTCTAGGGGAGGGTGAGCTCACCGACGGTGTCAGAGCCCCTTCTGTGTTTCTCAATGCCCATGTAATCTCAGCGTGGCTGAAGCTGTCGATGAGGAAACCATTTCTGTATTTAACAGTGGAGCCTCTGGCACCCACCTCGCCTTCATGAATGCACCCTGGGCTCCCAACATGCAAGTCATAAAAGCAATTTTGACTCAAAGCTCTATTTCTTTTGGCTTCTAGGAAGAACTATGTAAACTTTAATTTGGCTACAAAGGTCAGGAAAGTAGATGTCATTGCAAGCTTTCATTTCGGATCAAACTTTCTATCTGACACCTTTTCTGCCAGAGCCGAGTGCACAGGAATAACCAGCCATGCTTGTAAAGCCGTCAGTTTCACGAGTGTCTGTGTCCTAACACAACATCAAGCACTGGCAGAGGCAGCACCATCTGACCACGTCCCGTAGACTGAGTGATTCACTGAGTGCTCCCAGGGTTACCCTTTAGCTTTATGTTAAAATATTTCTTGGTCACTGCATGCTCCCAAACCCATTATTTGTCAAGTTACTTGTGCCAGGATAGTAGAGAAAGAGAAAAGTAGGCTGTAAACACAATCCAGCCTTTGTGTAAGTGAAGGGTTAAAGGTCATTTTAATCCTACACCACTGCCATGTTTTCTTGAAATTTCCCTAAGTGGTAAAGGAACAGTTAGGACTTGACG